ATCAATATCAGTCAAAATAGAAAAATGGGTTCCCATGATGAACGTTTACGGAACCCAACATCAGTTATTGTGGTTTCCCATTGGGTAATCCGACTGAACCGAAAAACGGTTACCATGAATTTCTGAAATCCTCAGGCCTGGTCCTGAATTATTTAAATTTTTGCAGCATTTGTTTATAATTGTATGTATATGTTGTTTGTGTTATTATCATATGCAATTGAATAAGTAGACCATTTCGGAATTCGAAATTTGGGACTCTCTCAATGCATAATGGGACTCATACTTTTCTGATCAGTGAGTCCCTGGGACTCGCTGCAGGTAAACTGTAAAATGATCACTGAGAGATTACCGCTTTTTCTGCAGTCAGTGATTGACTTCTATGCAAAGTCATTTCTCAACTTGTGTTCCGTGCCATGTGATGCCTGTTGAGTGTTGATTTACTTCATATTAAGAAACTACTGCACTAAAACATTCATTCATAAATGTATATCATATGATTTTATTTCTTTTTCTCAGTATAACTAACACGTACCCTGACTGTTCTACTCTTTGAATAAAAACACTTCATTCAAGCGTTAGGGAGTGCAAAGGGTTATGATGGAGGGGTGTTGCAAATCATGAGGACCTGCCAAGTGGTATGATAGCATTGTTTTATACATGTCCTTGGCTAGGCCTCAGTTTCAAAATCAGTCCTTGGTCCTTGGCCTTGGCCTCGGAAGCAAGTCCTTGGTCCTTGGCCTTGGCCTCGGAAAATTTCTCAAGTCCTTGGCCTTGGCCTTGTCTCGGAAAATTTTCCAAGTCCTTGGCCTTGGCCTTGGCCTCGGGTTGCCGGTCCTTGGACACAACACTGGTAATCAGTACAGAGCATTATTATCTTTGTAAAGGCAGACAACTTGATGCGGCTGATTCATCCCTGCAGGTGTACCTAATGTTGTTGGCCGCGAGTGAATGCCTGGAGTACATGTCCCACTGAAATGGGGATGTTGTGTTGAACAGAATACAATGATTTGCAAATCATGTTCAACCTACATGCACTGAATACACAGCAAAAACAAGACATTCCACATTCCAAAAAAGCTGGAGCAGGTGGCAAAAAAGACTGAGAAAGTTAAGGAATGCTAATCAAAAACTTTGAAACATTCCAAAAAGGTGTACGAACAGGCTAACTGGGAAAAGGTGAGTGCTATGATTGGGTGTAAAAGGTACAAAATGAGCTTCACTGAATTGCTCAGAGCACTTCAGAAAGCCAATGTCAGTAAATACAGTTTGGCGCTGCATCCGTAAGTGCAACTTAAAAATCAATTTCCAAAGCAAAAGCCATTCATCAACAACTTCCTGAAATGCTGTCGGCTTCTCTGGGTCCAACCTCATCTAAGAGGGACTGATGCAAAGTGTTCTGTGGTCTGACAAGTCCACATTTCAAATTGTTTTGGGAAATTGTGGACATTGTGTCCTCTGGGCCAAAAAGGAAAAGAACACTCCACACTGTAGTGGATGCAAAGTTCAAAAGCCATCATCTATGATGGTATGGGGCTGTGTTAGTCCAATGGCATAGCTAATTACTCATCTGCGAAGGCACCATTCATGCTGAAAGTTGCATACAAATTTGGAGAAACATGCTGCCAGCCAAGCAACGTCGACATGGACGCCCCTGCTTATTTCTGAAAGAGAATCCCAAACCACATTCTGCATGTGTTACAACAGTGTGGATTCGTAGTAAAAGAATGTGGGTACTATACTGGTCTGCCTGCAGTCCAGACCCGTTTCCCATTGAGCATGTGTGAAGCATTATGAAGTATAAAACATGACAATGCAGACCCCAGACTGTTGAACAGCTGAAGCTTTACATCAAGCAAGAATGGGAAATAATTCCACCTACAAAGGTTCACCAATTGGTATCCTCAGTTCCCAAACATTTATTGAATGTTGTTAAAACGTGATGGAACACAGTGGTACACATGGCCCTGCCCCAATTTTTTTGGAATGTGTTGCAGCCATAAAATTCGAAGTGAATGATTATTTCGTAGGAAGAATAAAGTTAATCAGTTTGAACATTAAATGTCTTGTCTAAGTTGAACACGATTTGCGAACCATTGTATTCTGTTTTTATTTGTTTAACACAGCGTCCAACTTCATTGGAATTGGGTTTGCATATTACACACATTTGAGAAAATATTGTTAAATAATTTTACAATTGCTGTGTTTTCTTACTAAATAGTATTGCAATGTAAAAATAAGCCATTTATGGAATGTATAGAATTATTCCACTTTGGTAATCATCATTGTTGTTCTGCACTGAGAGCCCCAATATTAGAATGTGTGGGTGTACCAAATGAAGGGCATGGTTGCGTGTCTTCTGCATGTCTAAGCAAGTGCAGGTGAAAATGGCATGAACTGGTTGCCTCTGTCCATCTCTCATCAGTCTTTGGAGGATGTGACCAAGCCCAGTCACGATATACCTGAGAAGAAATTTTCCAATGGTTTCCAACGGTTCCTTGATGTACTCAATAAAGGCGTGGATGTGGAAGTACTCAACCAGATTGTGATTCAGACCCCTGGAAAAGACTGTGGTCATCCACCATCTGCAGCATCTTCCCACAATGCCGCGGATCATCCCTGCGTCCCAGGAGAGCAGGTAGGTCAACAAAATGTCAGCAAATGGAACGAAGAGAATTTTGGAGACGAATGCCACAGGCAGCCTTTTCCACAGTCCTTCAGCCCAAAGAGGAGCTCTCCTTATGATGACAGGTCAGTGCAGAGGAGTGATGTAGGACAAGGCTGCACAAGGTCCAAGTTGCCTCCTGTGGCGGAGAAGAAAAGACTGACACCGGACGATGAGCACAAGCACCAGCAAATTCAGGAAGTATTGCAGGCCATTGGGGTGGACTTGGGATCCGAAGAGTTGGGCCAAATGTCGCACCGGATTAAGGAGCGATTATACGGGAAGAAAGAAAGCCACTGGAGCTACCAGAGTGTAGGCAGCAGGGAAAGGGTCACAAGATCAGTCTGCTCTCCAAGGCGCCGCAGCAGGTCAAGGTCATCATCTTCCTCAGCCTCATCATCCAGCAGATCAAAACATTCATACAGTGACTACTCTGTTCACAGAGACTCATACAATGCTCAGAGTAATTTCAAAGAGGATCAAGCCTGGGTCCCTTCCGCCACCAGCAACAGTAGAGCTTCACTAGATCATCAGAAATGTGAAATCCAAGCCACCGTTTCTCCAAATGCGACCTGCACGACTTTAAGACCCACAATGCTCACGACGCCAGCCTACGGTCCCGTGAATACTTCCCCAATGGTGTACCCGCCTCTGTTCCCCAACATTTCCAACGTCGGACCCAGGCTTCTTTATCCTCCCCTGCAATCTTTGCCTCCTCACACTCCCCTACTCCCTTTCCCCTGTCGGCCTCCCTTCATGACGTACTCTTGTCCATCGCCTTTGAATGTCCTTCCATCTGTTCTCGCTCAAACGAGGCACCTTCTTCCGCCGCCAATGAGTAACATCCAACCATCATTTTTAAACCTGCCAAATGCACCAGTTGCGTTGCCCAAGATAGATACTCCTACAAAGTCTAAAATGTTACCAAGGCCTCGTTGTTTACTGGTAATTGATACAAAACAGCCCAGTTAAATGCTCAATTTGGAGATGAAATCTGTTTATTTCTGTGTACACATGGACTAAATTGTCAGCACTCTGTTAATGAAAGAAAAATCCACAATGGTCACTGCAATAACTTGTAACTGACAAGCGGGAATGAAGAAATAAAGCTACTGAAAAACAACCAATGAAAATTAGACATTGCTTTTGAACTGTGGGGTCAGTGAAAGTAAACAAAAAAAAAAGTCATGGTACCCAACTTTATATTTTGTTCCCCAAACTTTTGTGCTAATCAAATGAGTTCTGCAACTATAAATGAGACTTCTACAGCTGTCAAAAGGAATCTCGGCCCTTGTAAGCAAAGTGCCCTTCTTGTCTCGGGTTTGAAGGGTGCTTTCTCCACATTTAACACTTTAGCTCCTTCCACAGATGTGCAATTGACTTTAGAGTAAGGCCCATTCGAGGGCCACTTGAGAACGAATGTTGACCCGAGTCAAGTGACTGATCGAAACTTAGACTTTATCACTCTAAAATGCTAGAACAGGGGTCGGGAACCTATGACTCGCGAGCCAGGTGGGGCTCTCTTGATGATTGCATCTGGCTCGCAGATATAACAAAATATTCTCGCGTGTTAAATCCATCCATCGATTTTTCACTGCTCACGTCCTGTTCAGGGCTGCAGTTGGCGGTAGGAGCAAATTTAATTGGATGATACTGGCCTACGTTTGCTGTTACTGGGTAACAGGTAGACATCCCCTTTTTGAATCAGCCCGCTCAGTCATTAGCCAAAGTTAATCCTTCGACGAATAAGATTGCGAAAAGAAAAAAAGATGACGAGTATGGTACACTTCAGGACGAATGGACCGAAGGATTCACCTTTGTGGAGAGAACATATTCTCCGGTGTGTCTAATTTGCAATGACAAAATACCATCGATGAAACGGTCGAATGGAAAGCGGCACGTTGACACGTGCCATGCGACGTTCGCATCAAAATACCCTGCGGGAGACAGCAGAAAGGAAGCGTGCAAGCTACTGAGTAGGGTACAAGCTCGCCTGCAGCAACTCCGCGTATGGACTCGGCAAGCTGACTATAATTCTGCTATCTTTGCTGGATCTTGAGCAATGGTGAGGAATGGAAAACCATTCACATTAATGGTGAGTATTATAACAATTTTTTTTGAAATACATTCAGAAGCTTATCATACTGACATTTGTTGAATTCACTTTTAAAATAGTTATTTTGATATATATATAATAAGAGCTGTCAAACGATTAAAATATCTATTAATCTAATTAAAAAATGCAACTTTCATAATTAACTCAAATTCACAAAAAATTAATCGTGATTACTCACGCATTTTTTTATCGTTTCTGAATTTCCTTTTATATTTTTTGTCCTATTTTTCCCCATTTTAATGCTCTCATCAACATGGAATCATGAATCAGTTTTCTATGTGCAAAATGCAAATATTTACTGAAATAACAATT